CAAAGAGAACATAACAATATGATATTTCCTACCTCTACAAGCTATTGTGGGGACAAAATAATCCACATGTCCTTACATATATCACTATATTTAAAATTCAGAATATGTCATTCTGCACAGAAAAAATAATTTCTGTTGCTCTTTCTTTTTCTTACTCTATGAGTTACTTTAGTTGTTTTTAGTGTTTTCTCAGCTATCTGCACCACAAATCTTCTACTGCTGTTTTTTTTTGTTTGTTTGTTTTTTTGGTCAGGAGTGACTTGAGAAACTGCAAGTCGCTTCTGGTGTGAGAGAATTGGCCGTCTGCAAGGATGTTGCCCAGGGGACGCCCAGATGATTTGATGTTTTTATCATACTGCTGGTAATCAATATATTTAGCATCATTTAGAATTTCCTCCTTCCCTTCACTAATTCAATAACCATTTCACATGTATTTTCTTAACACATGTATCAAAACAGTAAGGTATCACCATTAAGTGATAAATAAAAATACATAGTTCAGTATTCTTAGCTATTAATTGTTATATTGTAGAACTGATTTGATTTTTGATAAAATAAGCAAGTTGCTGTTATTAACCTCAATTTTCACACACACAGGGCCTTCTCAGACAGGGCCTTCTCAGTGGTGGCCCCTCGACTATGGAACGCCCTCCCTAGGGATATTAGATCAACCACTTCCCTTTTAACATTCCGAAAGAAAGCCAAGACTTGGCTTTTTGAGCAGGCGTTTGCAGATGCAATATTAACAGACATAGAGAAAAAGAAATGGAACATCTGGACGACACTATTGGATAATGTTTCTAACTAGGAGATTCAAACCGATAATTTTTGCTGTATAAACAAAGTTTGGATTTTTTTTCCTTTACACCTATGTGCTACTCTTGATTCTCAGTTGATTGTAGTTTTCTCTATAGCCACTCCATGTGGTTAATCACAAACATAATTGTCAATGGATTTTCCTTTCTTAATTAGAAACGTATATATTTTAGTGGCAATTACTGCAACTTAATCAACAAGTTGTGCAAATAATAAAGCTATAAGAGTACCTACACTTGAACAGCACCAGTCTTTGTGGTGATGGGGAAGCATTCTCACACAACACACCTAGGAATTACAGGTGACACACTAGTGTACCAACTCACAGTTTGAAAGGCTCTGCAGTAGGCAAATGCTGAAACGTTGTTGTTTATTCGTTCAGTCGCCTCTGACTCTTTGTGACCTCATGGACCAGCCCACGCCAGAGCTCCCTGTTGGCCATGGCCACCCCCAGCTCCTTTAAAATCAAGTCAGTCACTTCAAGGATACCATCCATCCATCTTGCTTTTGGTCCCCCTCTTCCTTTTTCCTTCCATTTTCCCCAGCATCATTGTCTTCTCTAAGCTTTCCTGTCTTCTCATGATGTGGTCAAAATACTTCATCTTTGCCTCTAATATCCTTCCCTCCAGTGAGCAGTCAGGCTTTATTTTCTGGAGTATGGACTGGTTTGATCTTCTTGCCGTCCAAGGCACTCTCAGAAATTTCCTCCAACACTACAGTTCAAAAGCGTATAGCTTCCTTAGCTCAGCCTTCCTTATGGTCCAGCTAACTATGTGGATCTTTGTTGCCAGTGTGATGTCTCTACTCTTCACATTGTACAGTACATTAAAAAACATTGTACACTACATTAAAAAAGAGCAGAAAAGGCATTCTCCAATTACCTGCTGCAAGAGTGATCCCCACTGCAAGAGTGATCCTTATAATCTTTTGAAGGACAAATAATAAAAGCCAACTATCTTGGGCTGATATGACCCACAATAGAGATGTTTAACCCAAAACTTTTGGACAACACTATTGTTATCATGGGAAGAAGGGTAACATCCTTTCAGTACTTGCGTGTGGATGGACGACACCTCTCCTGCCAACAGCACCAAAGACGACTCCAACACCAAGTTGGGAAGAAAATTGCCACAACTTACTTATTGATTACAGGAACAAAGGGTTGGTTGCCAGGCATGGGTTCTGGATCATAATCCATCAGCCCACTGCTGACTGATACCACTGTACACATAAGGGTACCACCAGCACAATACCAGGCTAATGACTCTGCATCCCTGAGAACCGCTGGATGTCCCCACCCCCTTCTGCTGGGGGAGGGGGGAAGAAAACCAGATCCAGGGCCAATGCCACATGCCAACCAAAGTTGTGAGGAGCTAACAAATACTGTGCAACAGTATTCAAACACAAAACTAGCATGCAGGGCAGATGGGATGGACAAGCTGGAGCAGGCACATAGCCTGTGGAGCCTCTATGGGGCTGCTGGGCAGGAGAAGCTGCTGGCCCTGGCCAATCCAGGGTCAGGGCAGGGCTGGCTGCTGATTGGCCAGCTGGCCCAAGCAGAGGAAAACTTTCCGCTACATAGGGCACTTCTGGGAAGAAGAAGTCCCCTGCAAGCAGCATGGCCAGTGAGAGGATTCCCCCTGCCACAACAGTCCTTGCCCAGTAAGTTGAGCAAGGCATTTTTTAGACAATCTCTCTTTATAAGTATACCTGGAAGCCCTGAAAGTCTGTGCAGACACCCAAAAAGGAGTCCAAATTTTAATGGGATTTACATACATTTATGTGTATTTAGATTTTCTATTTCTTTGTGTGTCCAAACTTTAAATGTGCACTGTTACTATTCTAAAGATTTGACATAAGACAAGTCAACAACTAAAATATGTATTTTATGTATATTATATTATATTATCTTGCTAATAATATAACTTTTTTGAAATCAAATTCATATATAAGAACTTTGCTGCTCCAAAATATGGTTTTAGGACAAAAACTTTGTCTTTCAGCTTCCTTAATTGACTTTATGTTTCTGCTGTTTCTTCTTCTTCTGATCTGTTTACCTTAGAAATATAAACAAAACCTAGTCATTTCCCATAGAAGAGGGTGTTCTGAACAATTCTTATCAGAGAATGTGTATGTCATTTCTCTTTTTGGCATTCCTATTTATAGTCTCCGATTTCCCAACATGAAGGACGTGAGGACATGCAGAAGATGAACACAAATGTTTAGGCATTCTCTATTTGTCTTCTGTTATCACAGAGCATTAGAGACACAAGAAAAGCACAGAGCAATGTTTGATGGGTCTGGATATGTTTCCTTTGAAATAATTGTGTCTCCTATACATGCTTTGAACAAGTCAAAAAGTGTATTTGTCTTAACCATGTTCTTGGTCTAATTGGTCCAATTATTGTTAAAAAAAACTATTAGCAAGGTAATTCCATGTAATAAGTGTGCTTGTCCTATACTGAATTTCTGTTTTTATGGGAAAACCCTGAACTTGTTTTGAAAGTATCAACTTCCAAACAAACATAAAATTTAAAAGTTATCTCCCTCATCTTCTCCGTAATTTAAAGTAAACTGTGCCTTAGGGTCCATTTACACCGCTTTAATTACTATGGAATTAATGGGCGTTATAGTTTTCAAAGTCTTTAGTCTTCCTTGCCAAAAAGTTTGGTAGGTCACCAAACTACAAATCCCAGGCTTCTACAGCATTAAGCCATGGCAAGTACATCATGTCAAAGTGCATTAATTCTACAGTGTAGATGTATCTTTAGTTCGGTGGCACAGTGGGTTAAAGCCCTGTGCTGGCAGGATTGAAGACCGACAGGTCGCAGGTTCGAATCCGGGGAGAGGCGAGTGAGCTCTCTCTATCAGCTCCAGCTCCTTATGCGGGGACATGAGAGAAGCCTCCCACAAGGATGATAAAAACATCAAATCATCCGGGCGTCCCCTGGGCAACGTCCTTGCAGACGGCCAATTCTCTCACAACAGGAGCAACTCCTGACACGACAAAAAAAAAATCTTCTGCATCAGAAGCAGTTCCTTTAATGTAATACCTGGTGTAACCTACTATGTTCCAGATCTTCTATACCACTACTTCTTAGGACCTCATCACATTGAGGCCCATAACACAGGCTACATCGAGGGAATTCACTGAACAGTGAATCCATGTGGCAGTGGGGAAAACTGTCATCTTGTGCCTCACATCACTGCTTTCCGCACCACACGGGAAATCATCACCACCCAGCTTCCCCCGCACAGTGGCCCTATTTTAGGCTATGGGAATACAGGTAGTCGTTCTCAGGGCTCTGTCTTAGGACACTTCCAGGATGGTGCCATGATGGAACCCTTCCAGAAGTAGCCCTGTATCATGTGAAGGACTCCAGCAGGCTCAGTCTTGGAAGCATCCTTGGACAGAGCCAGAAGTCCATGTGATGACTTAAACTGTGGGCCCCGGCCCCAAATGGGGTTCCCTTTGTTCAGTGTTGGGGTCCTGAAAATTTGGCACCAGTAAACATTTTCTGAACACCACTTAGTGATTGTTTTCGACATTTACGTGAATCTGTTGTGCAGTGTTTACAGTGTACTCTGCAGAAAATACTTCAGCTGTACTTCATTAAGAAAAGGAAATTGGTCTGTTTGGCAAGCCTTGCAAATGCTGATTTGTTACCAGTAAATGTTTGGTTTTTATATCTGTTTTATATAGCTGTATACCTGGGATTACATAAGAATTACTCAGACCAAAAGGGTTCCCATATGAAAAAAATTAAGAAGCCCTGTTCTATACCAAGCTGTACCAACTGAGTAACATAGTTCAGATCCACATATTGATCAGATCCAAAAACAGGAAGTCACCAACAGATATACCTCAATTAACAAAGTAGATACATTCCTGGGACTTAATTCCTTAACAGAAAATTTGGTACCAGAGGCAGGAAAAATATGGAGAGAATAGAGATAAGTTCCTGCTCCACAGAAAACATGAACAGTTCAAATTTTCTAACTTCCTATTAGGTATCAATCTTAGGTGAGGAACATCACATGATTGAGAGTTCTGGAGTCCTGACAGCAGTAAATTCTTTCTCTAATAGAATAAAGTGAATGGGTGCTGATGTGATTGAACAATTCTGATTGTATCCATAATCTCATTTCAGCTTCAGCAGTAAACTCTTAATTATGTTTTGCAGGATATGAATGATTACTCCCCAGTATTTAGCAAACCTCTATACAGGGGAATGGTAGCTCCTGATGCAATCAAAGGAACTGTCATCACAACAGTGGAGGCTGAAGATCAGGACCCTCCGGTAAGTAAATAATGCTGTACTTAATACACTGCACCCAGATGGTTTCTTTAAATGCCATATAAATGCTCTTAATCCTCTAGATAACAGAAGTATTACATTGTGTGTTTTGGTTTTTTTACACAGAGGTACTTCTTGTACTCTCACGAGCTTACGCTGCACTTCCATTATTGTTTCCAAGACCGATAAAACCACAATATAGAATTCTTTTTATCTTTCTCCATTCCCTTGTTTCTTTTATGATGGAGAGATTTCTATACAAAATCTTATCAGGCTTTACTGTGCAGAAAGTAAGCAGCAATAAGAAAGGAGGGGAGGGGGTGAATCCCATGATTGTCTCTCTTTGAAATTCCTCCATAAAACTTTTGAAAAGTGATTGTTTTGCAGCTATTATTTCATGAAATATGCTTATATATAAATCCTCATCAGAATATGCTTTTTTTTAACCAACTGCAAGATTTGCATATAGCATAGATGCTTTTTTTGCCAGAAGTCTTCTCAAACAAAACCAGTTTCTAAGAAATGTTAAATCTGGTATTTGAGTGACAGAGCTACATGTACCTGACAATAAACTGCTAGCTCGGGGGAAAGAAGAGGCACATTTTGAGATGTTGAAGATTAATATTTTGTAATTAAAAGTTTGAGTCGGTTTAGCTTATAGATATTTTAAAGGCGTCTGCAAGGGATTATGCAAATAATAAAAAGACAGCACATGAATGTGCTAAAATCATGAAGTATGAATTCATATTGTATTAATACATTGCAAATAGTGTGCATATATTCACTTGAAGAAAAGTTTGCAGACAATTCTGATCAGACAAAACTTTCCTGTTATATATTGGTCACAACAATCACATGCTCTGCCACCACTCATTGTGCAAAACTGTTCCCATACATACTTTTTAAAAAGGTCTAGTTCTATATCCCCACCCATCCCCCACCCCACATCATTGATGTGACATAGATCACAACACTGCAGTTCCAAGTAGAAAAGTGGCTCAAGACATATTTTTTCTTCTTGATCCGAACTGTACCTTGAATTTGGTCTTCACTGGCATGCCTCTCTGATTCAGTGTCCCATTACTTCAGCATGAATGACATACTCAAGATGGATCTACACTGCCATATAATGCAGTTTCAGGATGCAGATTAACTATACAAACTTCATTTTCTTTTTCCATGGTGAACTGGATGTTTGGGTGGATGCTGTTAAGATGGTCCAGGAACCTGTTGAGTTCTTCTTCTCCATGGCTCCAAATGGTGAAAGTGTCATCCACATATCTGAACCATATCGTGGGCTTTTTTGTTGCTGTCTCCAGGGCTTGTTTTTCAAAGTGTTCCATGTAGAAATTAGCTATGACTGCGCTGAGAGGGCTCCCCATAGCTACTCCATCTTTTTGTTCGTAGAACTCATTGTCCCACTGAAAGTAGCTGGTGGTGAGGCAATGGTGAAACAGAGCTGTGATGTCTTCTGGGAACCTCTGGTTGATGAGTGCCATGGTGTCTGCTACCGGGACCATGGTAAATAGATATACCACATCAGTTTGTCGTTGGTATTTAACTTGAGATTGCTGATTTTTTCTATGAAGTGGGTTGAGTCCTTGATGTAGTGTGTAGTGAGCCCAATATGGCTTTGTAACTGTGCAGCAAGAAATTTTGCTAAGTCGTACGTGGGGGATACAATGGCACTCACGATGGGTCTGAGTGGGGTGGATTCCTTATGGATTTTTGGGAATCCAGAAAGCCTAGGTGGAAGGGCTTCCGATTTACATAGCTGTTGTCGTATATCGAAGTCTACATAGAAATCAGCCATAGCAGAGCACCTGATGAACCAACCTGGACACAGCATTTTATTTGAGAACACAGAAATGCTGGACCACTCTCACAACCACCATGTCAGACTACACAGAGAAGCCATTGAAATACACCAGAGTGCTTTCTCCATATTTATAGTTGTTTAATAATAAAAATGTGGATGGTTCTGTACATATGCGGGAATCAAAAGTATCAAAAGCAGTTAAAAACAATCTACAGATTGAGGAAGTGGCTGAAAAATAAAAAATAAAAAACATCCTCAGATTATGGGATGGTTGGGAAGTGTGTTCCTTATTTTACATGGTATATAGAATATAAGAATTCAGTTTGGGCTTTTTCCGGATAGGTAGAATACGTACAGTGTTACAATAATCAGATTCCTTTCTGACTGTGCTAACAGAGATAGAACATTATATCCTAGAGTTCTCTAGGGGAATGTGTGCTTTGAAGTTTAATAGGTTTAGATTTGAGTATTTACAATATTTCCTCATGTTTAATCTGTTGAGAAATAAGTTTCTTTTATCACAGCATCCTGTTTCCAGAGGTGCTCTATACTACCAACATAGTGTTTAATGTTCTTGGGCTAAAAATTTTTTAAAGCCTCCACATTATGAGCACCATGACAAATTCCCATATATTTTGTTTTATTAAAAAAAAATACACTATGTTCATAGAAGGCTTTGCACATTCAAAAACCTGTCCACTCAGTCACATCCTGAGATAGAAGACACAAGATTGGATAAAAGTAAAATAAAATCATACAAAACAAAATTCACATTTTGAGGTAATTTTTGGATTTTATTTGACCTTGTTTCCTCCAATGGAAGAAACTGCAGTTTTACCTACACGAGGCTGACCAATTGCCAGAAGCCCAGGTCCTACATGTGAGCATAGCTCTTCAAACACTGTAATACATCCTTTCATTGCACTTGATCACCATAGAGAAACAGCTGATTTCATCTCACTGGGATATTTCCTAATGGATATGCCCTTGGTTTTCCTTCTCCAGGGAGTAGCCATATCTGCATGGTCTGAATTATCAGGCCCTTCCACATAGGCACAAAATGCCATTCAGAACCAGCATAAAATTGCCACAAGGAGGCAACACAAGGCTGTCCTAAGCCACTTCCATGGTGGGACACTGGCCTGACAGCCCTGCCATGGCAAACCTCGTTTGGTGGGACTAGGCATGACCTTAGTTTCTCACACTTTGTGCACTCCACCCACAAAATGACAGAAAATTCCTCACTGCTGGTACACGTACTCTTCCTGATTTTTCATCATTCAGGAAACAAAGGAGCTTGGGAGGAGTAAGACTCCTCCCAAGAATCTGGAAGTTCAGAGCAGGCAGCACTGATAGGGGAGGATTTTCTGTTGTTGTTTTGGGAGGGGGGAGTGGAGGTGCTGGGGGGGGGCGTAATGCTATCCCACCTTCCTGCCTGAGCCCAGGGAGCATGTGAAAGCTATTGGGACTTGATCCTGGATCCCACATGGGGATCTGGGATAGCAGACCCACTATCCCAACACTGAGAAAGCTCCAGATCTTGCTGCAGGATTGCGACCTTTCCCAGTGTTTTTTAAAACTTAGGGTCCAACCAGATTAGGGCCCCAAAATTGAAGAAAATTGTTTTGCTCTATAGATGATTACACAGGAAATCCTGAAACCAGTTTGAGACCTGGATGGTGATTGCACAAATCTCTGAAGATGATGTACATTAGGGAGATTCTTTCACACACTTTTGTAGGAGTTTGTTGTCTGGCTGCCACAATTTGAAGCTAGCTTCTAACTGCATTAAATGGCCAATGCATATGGGGCTTAAGTAGCTTACCCAAAGTCCAACCGCCATAACCTGTTTGTGCTGATGGACACACCAGGCTAATGCGATTCCTATACTTCACTATATGGCAGTGTAGATAGAGACATCATCTTCCTCCATACCAGGCATGTAGCCGGGGGGGGGGGCTTGAGGGGCTTCAGCCCCCCCCCCCATTCTCATGGTGGTTCGCGAAAAGGCCTTACTGGTGCATTATTTAAACTGTTATGTTTATTCATATCATGATCTGATCACCATACTCAATATATCCCATATGCATGGGGTATTGGGGTAATGATACAAAAAGGTTTGCTAGGCTAGACCCTCTTTCACTCAGACTCAGCCCCCACCCCCGAAACTCAGCTCCCCCCCGAACAATCAGGACAATCAGATGGGGGAAGCATGAGCATGCGTGGTCCGAGTGTTATTACAATGTATACAATGCATGTATTACAATGGCAACATGAGAATCCCCCCCCGTTGCCCTGGTGGCGGCGTGCGCCAGCTCCACCCTCCTTCCCACGGCCGGCTTGGTGGGTGACTGGGACTAAATCAGCACATGGAGCCAAATTTAGTCCCATATGAAGAGGTCATAAGGCTACTTTCTAGGCCTGGGTAACAACGGAAAAATTTGTTTCTAAAATCGATTTGTATTTGGGGGGTTTTTTTGTTTCGATATTTAAAATAATTACAAAATTTTCCTTTTAAAAAGTTTGATATTTACGAAATTTCGTAAATGGTAAAAAAATTAATGAATCGATTTCCGAAACAATAACGAATCGATTCGTTAATGGCGGACGCGACCGCGAAATACGCTAAAAAACCTCCAAAACCTTCTGAAGCTTCCCTCTCCCTCTGTTGTTGACTGTTGGTGTGATATTATAATTTTTTTTCACTAATTAAACCATAAAACTGGCCCAGACATGCGGAAATAATAACAAAACGACCTCAAAACAATAACGAAACGAATACAATATCGAAATACGAAGCATTTACAAAACGTTTTTGAAAATTCGTTTTTAATAATTGCTCCAGAATGGTTCGTTATCGTTTTGTAATTGAAAAAATTAACGAATTATTAACGAATTACGAATTAACGAAACGAAACCGCCCAGCCCTACTACTTTCCCCTTTGCTGTTGATTATAGCTTTTGACAGAGAAACACAATTTTTGATGAGACTAAATCTCTTCGTATGTGTCTGAGATGAGAATGGACTATTATTTTATATATTTTTTAAAAGCTGTTGTTTATGCTGTCAATAACTGTCAGTGGCTTGGCAGAACTCATGGAGCTAACATTTGCCACATCAATCTGAGAATAAGTGAACTTGTCCATTATTACTATGTTTGCCCCTCTTTTATACTTCTCTACA